CCTCCCAAGTAGCTGGGACCACAGACATCTTCCACAAGGCTGGGATGATTTTTCTGGGGTTTTTTTGTAGAGACAGAGTCTCACTTTATTGCTCTCATCTACTCATCTGTGTGCCATGGCATCACACAGCTCACAGCAACCTCCAACTGCTGGGCTTAGCAATTCTCTTGACTTAGTCTCCTGAGTAGCTGGGACATACAAGCACCTGCCACAATGCCCGACTATTTTTTTGTTGCAGTTTGGCTGGGGCCGGGTTTGAACCCGCCACCCTTGGTATATGGGGCCGGCGCCCTACCCACTGAGCCACAGGCGCCACCTAATTTTTCTATTTTAGTAGAGACAGAGTCTCTTGTTCAGGCTAGTCTCCGTCCTCAGCTAAAGGGATCCTCCTGCCTCAGCCTCCCAGAGTGCTAGGATTACAGGCATGAGACACCATGCCCAGCTCTGGTTTTCCAGTTTATGATACTACAAACAGTGCTGCTGTGACCATCCCTGTACATGTATCTAGAGTTACAAGATGAGAAATTGCTGCGGTAAAATGCATGACCATTTTAAAAAATTATTTTTATTTTTATTTTTTTTAAGAGTTGGAATCTTTTTCTTATTTATACTGGTCTTGGACTCTGGAGCTCAAGTGATCCTCCTGCTTCAGCCTCCCAGAGTACTGGGATTATAGACATGAGCCACCGTGGGTGGCCCAAGACCATTTAAAATTTTGATAGATAGTTTGAGTTTATACCGTTTAACCCTATGGGTGTCCCCGTTACCCATTCAAGGCATTCCTATTCCTAATATCTATCTGATTAGTGAAAAATAGCATCTTACTTTCATTTGCTCTTTTTTGCTAGTGGCATTGAGAATCTTTTTGTATTTACTGGCCATTTGTATTTTTCCTGTGAATTGTGTGTTCTGAATTGCTGGTAATTATTGATTTTTCAAGAGTTTATTGAATGTTGATGTTGATTGTTTTTAGAGGGTTTTTTTCTTTGTAGGTTTTCTTTTCCTTTTGGTGTGTGAAAACAAATTGTTATGTGGTAAAATTTATGACTCATTTCTTTATGGTTTTGGGATTTCCCAATTCCAAAATTATAGTCACTCATGGTATGGTGGCTCGCACCTATGATTCCAGCACTGTGGAAGGCTGAGGTAGGAGGATTGCTTGAGGCCAGGAGTTCCAGATCAGCCTGGGCAATGTAGTTAGACAA